TTCTTGAAAGGAAGACCCTCGATGGGTCCTCCTACAATCCATCCAAGCGCTGACTCTACTGCTGTGGGAGCATGAGTGGTTTCCCCTTTCTTGCATTTACCAGTCATAAATGAAAAGCAAAAGTCTGCTCCTATCAAAATATCGACGTTAACTGGTCCACGACAGTACGAGTCGGCAAGTATAAAGTTCTGTAGGTGGGGGCAATTTTCAATGGTGAGGGCCTCCATGCTAACTGGCGTTGAAATGTTTTCTTGAACAGAGGCGAGCGAGAACCTGAATTTCCTCATTCTCTTCGTTTGACTGGTTTCTCCCCCTGACATGGAGACACTAAGGGCCTCAGAAGGTCCATCAAGGGCAAATGATTCGGCAACCTTCTTGGTGATATAAGACCTTTGGCTTCCTGAGTGAAACAAAACCTTACAGGTGCTCTCTGGAAACCGTCTCAAACCAGAATGGCTGTCCCAGTCTGTAGTAAGGTTTGTTGCATCTTGGAGTTGTACGAAGCCACAAATCCACTTAGTGTTGTATGTCCCTTTTCCTCCGTGGTAGGATCCCAGTCACCATGAAGTATAGTGTGATGACCCCGGCCAGATCCTTCAACCTTGCACTTGGGTTGGCGGCAGACTGAAGAATAGTGGAAATTATTTGCAGGCTTAAAACAGTCAAAACACAGCGGCTCCCCCTTACTAACTGCCAACGTTTGTCAACTGACTTCCGCTCAAGCTCTGGACATTTAAGGGTTTCATGTCCCTGCTCACACACATGGCAAGCTGTATAACTTCTCCAATTTTTCTCACTTGCTAGTAGAGCAGCTGCTAAAAACACTTTCTCCCGGGTGTTCCTTTCCCCAGTTCCATCCTTGTTCCATCCCCCACCTCCTCTGGCTGTCCCACCATTCTCACCAATCATACTAGCATTCCTTTTTCCGGCCTCCTTGGAAATCACTTGTTTATACAGGAACTTGAAGAAAAGTTCAAGATCAACACTTTCTTCCTTTGCGTATATAAGAACGATCCTTTGCGTCAGTTAGTTCTAATTCCCATTTCTCGGATAACTCAGGTGGAAGTTTGGTTTCAAATATTGAAAGGAGGATACAAGAATGGGTCGTTGGCTTTTTGCCTAGGGCCTCTAGTGCTCTAATCCGATTCTTTAGCGTGTTATGGAGATCTGGGAAAAACTCTATCCCTTTCGTTTGACCTTAGTAACTAGATAATTGACTTGACTAGAGATGAAATAATTATTCTTTTCCAACCAAAGCGATGTTTCAGAGCATCAACAACATGCTGATAATTAGCACTAGTGACTTCAATTCCCTCGATTGTGTGATAAGCAATCCCTTCAAGTATTGAACGCAGGTAGGTGAACTTTTGAATAGCAGGCACATTGTCATTATCATGAATAGCAACCTCGAATTTGTCCCAAAAATTTGGAAATTTTAAAACCTCTCCATCAAACTTGGGTAACTCAAGTTTTGGTAATTTTAAATGTGACTGTGTGCTCCGCTGAACTCGAAGTAGTTTTTTCGTCTGCTTTGGAAATTGCTTGTTTAGATATATACTCTTGAGCTATGTCTAAAGCATAATCAGTCACTCGTTGATAGTCAATCCACTTTTGAGCTTCTTAAGCAACTTCATCATCAGAAATAAGGGCAATAATTTCCTCTCTTACCTCACTGCAACTCTCCATGTAACCATTCAACTTTTGAACACGATTTTCCATTCTTATGACGTTGTTGCTGGGACTTTTGCTTGTCTCAAGTATTACTTGTATCACAGCATTAATGTCCATCTTGAGGATCATTTCTTTCCTTCTTAACAACTGAAAATTACTTAAGTGATGATTGGCAGACTGTGACGACGAAAGTTGACCAGTTGATGCTGCAGGCACGTTGTCAGCTGGCAAGGCTTGTTTAGAGCCTATATGAGTCGATTCCTTACTTTTGTTTTGCAAAGATGGAGGATTAGATTCTTCTTGTTTTATAGCAATGAAAAGTCGAGCCATGAGAGCTGGTTTCTTTCCTTTAGCCGGTAATCCTCTCCTTTGTAACTCAGCTTTGACTAAGAAAAGAGACATTTCACTCACAATTTCCTCCGCTGACTTGACGATGCACAGTTGTCTGCCATATTCAATCCTGTAATCGTTTATCTCGATGTTTATTTTTCTGCTCAGTGCTTTGCTTCCCCAAAGGTTTCTCAAATCCGGCTTCGAAGGACCATAATGTTCTGTTCAGACTACTAAAATGTTTTGTTCCGACTAAAAAAATATTATGTTCAGACTACTAAAATAACTTCAAGCGAAAAACATGTTTTTATATACCATAATAGTAACGCAACAAAAAATGTCCTCAGTAGGGTGGTCCCGTCATAAGTCCAGTCGCACTGGGGGTCGTGAAATCCTCCCACTGCGGGTCCGGGCCCGAACAAAGGCGCAAGACTTAATGGCGAGTAAATAGTTGTGTCCAGAAATGAACGTGATTGTACTGTGGGTCTTAGCAACAAAAACTGCATAACTTTAAGGACGCGAGCCGACAATTTTCGTTTTCTAACGCAACTAAGTTAAGGAAGTTCCAAAGGGATTTTTTGACCGCGCGGAGAATGAATTTCAAGATACACGCAAGCAAATTACTCGCGAGAGAAATAAGCGATAGCGCGCGCGATCAGATCCGCGGCCGAGTTGTAAGCAAAAATGGCCGCCATGAGCGTTTCAAAATTGCCGGGTACCTCTATTGGTTCCATCGGAATTGGCCGTTTGAGAAACAAAAATGGAAAGTTTACTTCTTGAAAGTAGGTAAGAAAATGTTTGGATGGCAGGACTTTTGCCGAAAGTGGTCAAAAAGTTTATTTAACGAGCTAAAGGAGGATAGTGAAGTCAACACCCCATCAATAAACTCGCGACTAGTGTATTCGGTACGTCCTACTTTGGTTACAATGAATATGTTTTGAACTGCGGTATTAAATACGTATGATGCACGATCCTTCGAAGTAGATAGCGCTATTTACGCAACAGCGAAAATCAGACCTGAAAAAAATCAGGCCTGTACGGGATTCGAACCACTGACCTCTGCGATACTAGCGGAGCGCTCTACCAATTGAGCTAACAAGCCATCTGGGAGCAGGCCGTTAAGTTGATTCGCAATAAACCCGTGATGATAAATCAGATACAATGAATATATGAAGTTCATATATTTTGAACTGCGGTATTAAATACCGAAATTGTTTTCACTCCTCCACTTCAAATTGCACACAAACAATTATA